GACCCTGCCTCGCACCTCGACTCCATCGCCGCCTGGGCGCTCGCCGCCGGCCGCGACGCTGGTACCCCACAGCTCACATTAGACTTACGCTCATTTACTAGTAACGCCCCATAATGTCTTCGCCTAAGTGACGGTTTTTTATAATGATATAGGTCCCAAATGAGCAACGTGCCACCCATATTCGCCGAATTAGCGAAGATTCCGTTGCACCGAGATATGAGCAATTGCTAATGTGTTGTTTACCTTTAATCGACGGAGAAGGGAAATTACATAAAGAGGATATTTCACCTTCCTATGTGTCCCCACCAAATCCACTGCCTCTATCGATCATTTCCTTAAAAGCTAAAGATGAAAAGGGTTAGTGGATTAAAATCTCGTAAATAAACATACATATTCATAAATATGTATATTATAATATTTTTTGGCACTGCTGTTAAAGTTTTAAGACCCCATTGCATACTATTAAAATTGTAATGAACAATTTTATCATATAAAAGAACACAATGATTGATAACGTATAGATACTGAGGTGCACGTCACATGCAACTCGTTTTTAATATGAATATGAATCGGGCAGGCATTGTGACGACGACGCGTGTGACGCACGCCTCGCCGGCCGGCGTGTACGCGCGCGCGGCCAACCGCAACTGGGAAAGCGACGCCAACGTCCGCCAGGACAACCAGGACCCCGCGCAATGTCGGGACATAGCCTATCAACTCATACATTCATTTCCCGGTAATCATCTGAAGGTAAATACTCAAACCTACGATCAACAATACAGTAGCATTATTGAAGTTATAGTATAGTGATTAGGTATCATTTTTTTAAAACTAGCAAATTTCATTAGCGCGGTACTTAAACAAAATATCGTCTGTTACATTCCCGTGTGCACCTACCTTCTACCAGCTATGTTTCAAACAAAGTACAATCAAAATTGACCCGCCGTTACGGATATAGCGGTCCGGAATCCATTTTCACAGCGGCGAAATAAAAAAAAAGTGGCCTACTCGAATGACATGTCCATCTACATAGATTACATTACTAACATTAGCTACCATCCAGTGAAAGTGCCGTTGAAATCGGCACAGCCGTTTCGGAGATTATACGGAACAAACGCGGCTTGCCGACGTACAGACAGACAGAAAAAAATCGTTATCAACAATGCAAATACATTACCTTACCGAAATTAGATAGATTCTTTTTACTTTAAAATTCAAAGACTATCGAATTATAAAAATATGATAATCATCTACAGGTCGTTTTGGGAGGTGGACGAAGGGAATTTATTCCTACGACGAGTATTGACGAGGAGGGCACGTGGGGCCGCCGGACTGACGGCCGCAACTTGTTAGAAGAATGGCAGCAAGACAAAATAAGGCGCAATGTTACTTACCGGTACGTGTGGAACCGCGACCAGTTGATGAGCGCGAATGACGATCTGCCCGACTACCTTCTAGGACTATTCGAAGGAAACCACATGCAATATAACTTGGAAGCCGATAACCGAACTGAACCCAGTCTCGCTGAATTAACAGAAGTTGCGATTCGATCGCTGAGTCGTAATGAAAAAGGTTTTTTCTTGTTCGTGGAAGGCGGTAGAATCGACCACGCGCACCATGACAATTTGGTGGAGCTAGCGCTAGACGAGACGCTGGAAATGAGTGCCGCTGTAGCGCGTGCCGCCGAGCTGCTCTCCGAGGACGACTCGTTGATTGTTGTGACGGCAGACCACGCACATGTCATGACGCTCAACGGCTACTCGCCGCGCGGCACCGACATCCTCGGGCCCTCCAACGATAGGGACGAGGCAGGCGTGCCTTACATGACGCTCAGCTACAGCAACGGGCCAGGCTTCAGGCCGCACATCAACGGCACACGTGCTGACGTCACGACTGAGCCTAACTACAGTAAGTAGCTTGATGGTACAGAAGACCTGACAGTTTTAATTGTTTATCGGGACCGATAAAAATGCATCCCGATACTGTGGTAATATTGTTAATAAATGCAATTTGCAGGGCGAGTCGAGTGGATGAGTCACGTAGACGTGCCGCTCGAGTCGGAAACGCACGGCGGCGAGGACGTGGCGGTGTTCGCGCGCGGGCCGCAGCATGCCATGTTCGCGGGGCTGTACGAGCAGAGCCAGCTGCCGCACCTGATGGCCTACGCCGCCTGCATCGGCCCCGGCCTGCACGCCTGCAGCGCCGCCGCTACACATGTTCTGACTCCAGCGCTCCTCGCGGCAATCGTTTGGCTTACAATGTTAAAAGGATGAGGACAGATTCTCAGTTAATTTGTAACAATAAACTATGTAATATACACATTAAGCTGATATCACGTTTCACATAGCAACTTTTAATTTTTAAAAGAGAAAAACTTTTACTGTTTCCATTTCCTGATATTCTCCTTTCCTGCCAAATTCACTTCTCCTTCCATTCTATATTTATTAGAAAATGGGATGATCAGGGGACACGAATTGTTTTTGGGCACGGCAGCTGGTGCAGCTGCACATACCGCCACCATACTCGTGTATAGAGTGGTTTACTTGCACTTATCCCACTCATTATTTTGTGAATTCCATAGTCTTCAGGAATGCTTATTGCATTTTTTGTAACTGCGCCATGAAATACAATTTTTTTGAAGATGTTGATGAAAAGAAAATATGAATTATTAAGTTATTTATTTGTTTAAATGCAAAGAAATTCAAATATAATAGGTATTGAGGAGACATAAGGCGCTACTTTGCTTCAAAAAGTTTTCGAAGAATCGTCGTTGATGTTATTTATTAATGCGCGAATAGAATGTAACTATGTACTATAAAACCTATACTATCAAAAAAGCCTTGCATTATAAAAATATAAAAAGACTTCTTGAATCATCACATCGAATACATCTTAATAATTTATAAAGAAGAAATGGTATTAATAACAAAGGCAATATAGTGAAGTGGCGGGTGGCGGCGCTGCAGGCGTGCAGGCCGGGGCCGATGCAGGCGGCGTAGGCCATCAGGTGCGGCAGCTGGCTCTGCTCGTACAGCCCCGCGAACATGGCGTGCTGCGGCCCGCGCGCGAACACCGCCACGTCCTCGCCGCCGTGCGTCTCCGACTCGAGCGGCACGTCCACGTGAGATCTCCAATTTATTGCCCCTTAAAACAGAACGACACCAATATAGTATGTTTTGTATTACCTTTTTCAGATAAAATAATTTAAGTAGGAATTGGATTCGGTTAAGATATATGTATAGTACACTAATTTCGCCCGCGACTCCGTCCGCGTGAAATTAAAAAAAAAAGTGAGAGTATCCTCTACATCTATACCAAATTTCATCGAAATCCGTTTAGCCGTTTAGGCTACAAACTCTAACAAACATGTATCCATCCATCCATCTAAACTTTCGCGTTCATAATTTGATATATGATATCTGATATTAGGATGCTCTTACTAAAATTGGATTCAGTTGTCACGTCAGGTCTAGTATCATTGAGATGCGAGCGAAAACCGGGTCCATTGGTATACGAGAGCGTCATGTAAGGCACGCCCGCCTCGTCGCGGTCGTTGGAGGGTCCAAGAATGTCGGTACCGCGCGGTGAATAGCCGTTGAGCGTCATGACATGTGCGTGGTCTGCCGTCACGACAATCAACGAGTCATCCTCCGAGAGCAGCTCGGCGGCACGCGCTACAGCCGCGCTCATCTCCAGCGTCTCGTCCAACGCCAGTTGTGGCCGGTTCGCGTGATGCGCATGGTCGATGCGCCCGCCCTCCACGAACAGGAAGAACCCTTTATTGTTACGGCTGAGCGACCGAATTGCCACCTCAGTGAGTTCGGTGAGCGTCGGCTCCGAGGCAGAGTCGGATTGCAGATTGTACTGTAAATGGCTTCCCTCGAAGAGCCCTAAAATATACTCAGGAGTATTCTGAGCCAAGCTTGTCAACTGGCTACGATTCCACACATATTGATACGTAGCATTGCGTGCTATTTTATCTATCTGCCATTCTTCAATGAGATTACGTCCATCAGTTCTACGACCTGGGGTACCTTCTTCATCGATAGTTGAAGTAGGAATAAATTCACGTCTGCCGCCGCCTAAAATGACCTAGAAAACAAATTAAAATTATTAAAAACTACCACATCGTCCCGTCTTCGCCCGAGCGGAAAAGTATATACTCCTGTATAATTTATTTTCTGTCATATAAATACTAAGTCTACAAATTTTAAACAACGGTTTATTCTTCTCTGGGAATAAACTTATCTTTTTAAAAGAAAATAAGTAAAAAAAACGGCCGCAGATCGCCTACGCGTTGTTTACTCCGACTAACTTCCAACTGTTATCAGAATTATATCATGCTTCAATGCCGGGTAGCGAAAAGTGGCCAGGAAGATAAAGTATACCTTGAATTGATTTCCGGGATAGGAATGAACGAGTTGTTGGGCAATGTCTAGACAGATATTCGGATCCTGATTGTTACTGCGTACGCTGGCATCGTTCTCCCAGTTACGGTTCGCGGCTCGGGCATAAGCTGCCGCCGGAGACGCGTGCGTCACTCGTGTCGTTGTCACGATACCTGGAGGCGGTCATAGTTAATCAAGCAATCGAAACATACCTAAAATATTTCTACTATATTGCATGGAATTGCTATAACAAGTTGCCCATTTATAATTAGCCTTGGCAAAGCCTTTTTAGGCTTACTAAAGAGTCGTAAATGTGAACATTTTTTAAGTAATTGTTTTATTTCAAGTATATTACAATACGGTAACAAAAACCAAATTATGAAACCTGTATGTGTCAATGGTAGGATACATCAATGCTAGGTAAATACTTAGTTTTATATTTAAGTAAATATTCAAACTTAAACTAAATGGATGAGAACGATATAGAACAACTCATTTTTATCACAACATATTTCTCCATTTCCTGTTCAGAAAAAGCAGGTTACATCACTTCATTCTGGCGTGCACGGGTGGAGGGCGCGTGGCAGACGGGACGTTAGCAAGCATACGCCGCTGCCGACGTTTTGTCATGTAGCCGCTATACTCGTACAAACAGCAAACAGTGACGATCAGAGATACGTATACCTAGTACACTACCCCGATTGAAATGTCAAAAACCTTTTCTCGCTAGGCCTTACTCCATACTGTACTAGATAATTACATAGAATATAATTCCTTTAATAATGCTGATTTCACTATAGAAAACAACCTGCGTCTCGTCCATCGGCAAGTGCCCAAGCAGCGATGGAGTCGAGCTGTGCGGCGGGGTCGGCGGCGGCGGCGCAGTCTCGTCTCGGCACCGCCGCCGTAAGCCCCAATGTTCCACGGTTAGCCTTGGCGCCGCACAGGTACGCTGTCGCCGAGCATGCGGAGTCTGCAATTTGTGCGTCCACGCAATAAGTCTTGAAACAAAAATTATATTATTGCTTTCCTTTGTACGATAGATAGAGTACTTATACACTTACAGTATTTACCTTGGTCAAACCCACGGTAGGGAAAGTTTCGAATGCTAGTAGGGACTCCTCCCCGGGGCGGCCCTGGCGCTGTCCGAGCAGCGTGCGCGCCGCCGCTAGTGTGGTGACGGACATGCCGTCGCCCAGGAACATGACGACGTTGCGCGCAGTGGGGGCGGCGGCGGCGTCCCGCAGGCGCGCCTTCCGCGCCCGTATAGCAGCCTGCGCTTCGTCCGACCAGTATTGTGCGGTCAACTCCGCCGGCTTCGAGTTAAATGTTACACCGCCACTACGAGTAGCGCTCTCGGGGTGGTAGCGGTCGGCGCACGCCAGCCGCGACGTGGCGAACGACAGCAGCAAGCTAAGAAATGTGGTCTGAGACAACATCACGATGAACTGTCGGATGCACTGTCGGTTCACCTTCTGCTGTAACGTTAAACGTCTCTATACTGAACTGTTCCTATCTAATCTAAATGTATCATATTGCGATAAATTAAAAATCTAATTAATAACGTATAATCCCATCATAAAACTTAAATTCTAACCGTATTCACGTGATCTCCGTCCAGTTTCGGTGACTTTAGACATGCGTATATCACGACCGCGTCCTTCGACTCCCCGCTTTATCTAGCATTAAAAAACTTGTGATATAAAGCGAGTTGTCGTTTCCGTTTTAGAACTCCTTAACTTTATGTCTAAAAAAAACTTAAATATGCTCTGTTCGTCTCAACGACCACGGCGAAGCGGACCCGGTATGTGATTTTAGAAAATCACGTAATCAGTGGAAAACAGCAGGAATATGCAAAATTGTTGCCTGCCAGAAATTAGCAATTGGGGCCGCACATGAAGCCGCGCTAGCATTCAAACTACGCAATGTAATATATTCCCTGTAAAGGAACATGTTTGGTCAGCAGTCAGCAGTTAAGACGAAATATAAAGTGATACATCTCAACAATAAACCAGGGTTTCTTAAACCAGCGTTTTTTTATTTTACTTTTAATTTAGCTTTATTTCATTCGATATATATTTTTTTCTTACAATATATGTAGTCTAATAACATTATCATAGACTTTTTTCTATACTATATGGACCCCATTATGTATAAAAGTCTCCTCCAATTACAATGCAGCTTTTGTAAATTTATTTTTGTCTCAAAATAATATATTTTTGTAGGTATTTTGATATGGCATAAGATGTTGACACAAAATTAACACACACTTTTTTCAATGTTATATTCGACGTTCCCGTGGAATAAAATGGTTATGCGCTATTATCACTATTTTAATGTTTTTGCATTTTCGGCATCTACGGCTAGAAATACCTACCTACTGTTTTTTTTTAGATTTTTTGACAGAAAATTCATAAAGTAATAACAATTTTTATTTTTATTCTACGGAAATCATGTAGCAAATTCTTTCCGTAAAACATCGTAGTCGTTCATTATGTATGGCAGGAACGCATGTCGCGAGAAATCGATAAGGCATTATACGTTTTTTTTTTCACGTAAATAAATTGATTACTATATAGTACTATGAACTATATAACCACATTTATACAAAAACAAAGTCGTTTTATGTATATAATAAAATAATAAAAAAGGCACTGGTAGCTTTTACAAGAACAAAATCGTATTAGTTTATTACAATTAGCAATCATTCATGAAAGTACTGTAGAAAAACATCGTAATGCAGGGATATAGTTTTTATGATATTACAATTTAAATATAAAATCAGTATTATACATCTTTCATAATAACTTTATACATAGTATACATTACATATTTTTTTATTATAGCTACTTATTAAGAAAAAAAATACTTTAAAATAAATAAGAGTAGAATCAATTTTCGTCCAGGAGCACTGCAAGTTGGGTCGCGTCTGTTCGGAGCAAGTCGGGGCATGTCGGGTCCTCCTTTGAAGAGTCGGCAGGAGGC